CCAAGTCAGCGAAGCGTGATATGTCATGACGACTTAAGGCGTTAAGGATTCCCTTGTCCGTGCAATTATTGTAGAAAAGTGAGATTGCATCGTCCTCGCGACAGTCCTTAACCTTGTTCATCACAAGGAGGAATCTGGACCAATAATGACGTACTGTTTCATAGGGCTCTTGCCTGATGTGGGAAAGATCGTTTATGTCTGGGTGGGTGGGTGGATTTGAGTCCGAATCCCTACCCGATCTGAGACCCAGGGACCGAGGAGTTTCCAATCTTGGAAGTTCGGGTTCCAGAGTGCTGCCCGATAAGTCTGGCCCATTGCCTGATTCTAGGTTCAGGGCTTGGATGATGTCCTCCCGTAAGTGGGTATCCGGCTCGGAGAGCTCAGGAATCCGGACATAGTTAGTCCTCAAAATAAAGGAAGAATTGCCGCATTGTTCCTCCACCACCGCAACATGATGGGTGACCGATGGAGAGTTAATCTCCCTTTGATCGGGTTTAAGCCCAATCCGATCATAGTCCGTAGCGACTCCCATGGTGGCAATGCGATCCAAGAGTTCGTTTAGGGAAGAGCTCCATAGGATCCATCTGCTCGGCGAATTCCAAGCCGACGCAGAGGCTATTTTTGATTACCCGAGAAGTCATCGTCGGTGCAGCGGCCGGACAGGCGGTCATGACAAAACTGCCTAGCCGGAGAGTTTGGCCGACAGCCAGGGCTCCCCCGGCGGTAATGTTGTTTTTAACAACGAGATGAGGCATCCTTCCTTACGGCGATGTCACAGAGGAACTCTCAATGAAAGCACCAATGTCGGTGTCAAAACCGGCGGATCTCGGGTAGGGGGTCCCGAACTGTGCGTCCAAGGCGGATGCTAACAGGAGGCAGGGGACACGATGTTTTACCCAGGTTCGGGCCCTCTTGATGGAGGTAAAACCCTATGTCCTGCTTGATTTATTCTTGATGATATGAGTATTACAAGAGTTGATCTACCACGAGATCGGAGAGGCTAAACCCTAGAAGCTAGCCTATGGTATGATTGTATGTTGTCCTGCGGACTAAAACCCTCCGGTTTATATAGACACCGGAGGGGGCTAGGGTTACACAAGGTCGGTTACAAAGGAGGAGATATACATATCCGTATTGCCCGGCTTGCCTTCCACGCCAAGTAGAGTCCCATCCGGACACGGGACGAAGTCTTCAATCTTGTACCTTCATAGTCCAACAGTCCGGCCGAAGGATATAATCCGGCTGCCCGGATACCCCCTATTCCAGGACTCCCTCAAGTACCCTGTTCCGCGAGAAAACCACGCAACAACTGAGAGATATACTCGCCAGCGGAGTCAACACGGAAGGTACGAATGGGCGTGGAAAACTGAGTGTGAACCATGGCAGCAAATCGTTTGTATATAGGAAGAACCTCGCTATGAGATTTCATGAAGTAGAGCCAAGTGTAGCGAGAAAAATCATCAATAAACAAGACATAGTAGCGATGACCACCTTTCGAATCAAAGGGAGCAGGACCCCAGACATCAGAATGAACTAAGTCAAATGGACGCTGAGATACAGACGCACTAGTAGGATAAGGTAACTGAGTCTGTTTGCCAAGTCTGCAACAATTACAATGCAGGGAGACATCTCCAGATACAGACCCCAAGAGGCCCTGACAAACTAAAGAAGACAAACGAGAGCCACAGAGGTGACTAAGACGATGATGCCACTGCTAGAAGGACGCAGACGAAGAGGCAGCAAGAGCATGGAGTTGGCAGAAGTGGTGGCAGCGGAAGAAACATAAAGCCAATCAACCTCCCAAAGGCCCTCTGACTCACGGCGCCGAGGGCCAGCACCAACCAAAGCCTTGGTGTGACGATCCTGAATGGAGCAAGAGTCGGTATCAAGAATGACACGACAACCAGAATCAGTGAGTTGGGCAGCGGAAAAAAGATTCATGGTAAGGCGAGGAACATGTGAAACACTAGGAACAGAAAAAGATGGAGTGGAAAGAAGACCACGGCTAGCAACAGGAAGAGGTGTGCCATCGACGGTAAGAACATTAACATGAGAATCCAGAGGTCAGAGGGAAGACAACACAGAAGAATCAGAAGACATATGGAAGGAGGCTCCAGAATCCAGAACCCACGAAGATGTACCTGACTGTGTAGAGGCCTGCGGTGGTGGAGAAGTGGATGCAGTCACAGCAGCAGCTGAACCAGTCGACGAGGAGTCGGAGGAGGCAAGTAGACGCTTGAGGCGTACAATGTCCTGATCAGTGAGTGACGGAGTCGAGGAAGACGCTGGAGTGCCGCTGGAAAAGGAGCGCCTCTGGTCTCGCTTCTTCTGGCGACAGTCAGACTCTGGGTGACCTGACCGAGAGCAGTAACCACAGAAGGTGTCACAGCGCGACATACTCTTCTCAGCATATGGAGAGCGTGTCACCCCCCTGAAGGAGTAGGCAGAAGTGGTGGAGCAGTGAGACGAGCAGAGGACACAGGAGCTCGGGCGACCAACACTGAAGGAACCACAAGTAACCCTGCAGAGCGAAGACGGGTCTTCTCAGCACGAAGCTCGGCAAGCACCTCCGAGATAGGAACACGACCACGAGCAAGCAGGTGAGCACGACGAGGCTCAAACTCAGACCGGAGGCGAGATAAGAACTCATGAACCCTCTGAACTCCAAGTCAGACCGCCTAGTCTGACAGCAACGGCAAGTGCCACAAACAACTGTCCGTAGTGAGTCAAGCTGACGCCAGATGGCAGAGCACTATGAATAGAACTCATCCACAGACGAGTCACCCTGCTGAAGAGCATGCTCCTGGTGCACCACAGAAAGGTAGAGGGCATCACCAGAGGGCTGATAACACTGACCACATTGCGGCAATAGTGCTGAGGCCCATGAACTCCGAAGCAAACTGAGGGAGGACACTCGCAGTGAGAACAGCAGCAGCTCGAGCAACATCATTGCACCACTGAGTGTAAGCAGACAAATCGTCCCGGTAGACAGAAAGAGCATCAGAATATGCTGACAACTGTTGATCATAAGCATCGACTGCATCATCATCTAGAGCCTTGGTGGCATCCCGGTCAGCCTGAGAGGCATCAGCAGCAAGGACCTGCGGCACCGGTGGGATTGGGGCCACTGGCGCAACAGGGCATGGTGGGCAGGGGACCTCACCAGAAATAACACCCCATAGAAGGAGTCCACGCATATGAATGCGCATGAAGCCCACAAACTCATCATAGTTGGTGCCATCGAAGATCACCGAGCACCGAGAAACCACGACATAGCCCGAAGAGGACATGAGGAAGTCACTCTGGTGTTGTTGCTCTTTTTTTGAGTCAACTCAGGAGATCGAGCAGAGTACGCTCGAAGCAGAAGTGGATCGAACGCAGCCGACCGAGAGGTTGGGCCGGCGCGAGCCAAGGGAGCGGGAGGAGCGCCTTGGGACCGGATCGACCTGCCCCGACCGGATGGACTGGATTGGGATCGACCGGATCGGGCAGGGGAGGCAGAGGATCCCGCTCGGATCCATCTCGCTCGCCCACGCGGCAAGGAGGGCGGGAGAGGCGCTCGAAGCCCTCTTGCTCTCGCTCGCCCACCCAGCGTGGAAGGGAGCCGCTCAAGCGGGGGCCAGCAGCGGCACGACGGGAGGGGGGGGCAAGCGGGGGGGAGGGGGTAGGAGCGGTGCTGTAGCCATGGGAGGCTTGGCCGGCCGGGACAGAAGCGGCTGCGGTGGCTGGCACAGCGGCAGATGGCAACGGTGACCGGAACAGCAGTTGCCGGAAAGGTTGGTCGGAATGGAAACGAGGCAGACTAGGAAGAGGGAGCACGGAGTTGCGAGCGTGCTGTATCGGGAGAGGAATCTAAGCATCTGATACCATGTTAGGAATGAGCAACTACTCTTTACTGAGGGCCAATGGCCAGTACATATACAGATGTGGTAAAGTGCAAAAAGACCCCTTATACGATGGGGATGTACACAATGAACTATACACATCTAACAAAAACCAATCTTCGCTGGCCCACGAATATCAACCAGACTGACAGCATGCATAGAATTAAATCCAACTATTTATTCATCTATTTAGCCAAAAATGAACCTGTTTATTCATCTACAGGGTACTAAATATATCTGTTTCAACATTATTGCAGCAAGTAAGTGCAACGTGTCACACGATAAGCTCAATGTAGGTGCACGTAATGCGCTAAACTTTTCTACACAGCACATGGCTTCTCTCGAGATCTGACTATGCATCAAATGAACAAATTCAAATGAGAAGCAAAAGCCAGAAGAAAAGATAAATTTACAAGGAAGGTTTTTTTACTTGCAATTCAGAAAAAATAAAGACGGCTGATGTTTGATACTCAATAAGTATGAATAATGGGTAAATGTTGTATGAAAATCATAATAAAAGTATATGTCCAGGGGCACACACCAAAGGCTCATTTCGACAATGGTTTGATATGAAATTGTCATGCTACTCACACGGTGGGTGGTTTAAACAAAAAGAATAGGGATAAAATATTGATCCAATAACCTGCCCATGATCCTTGTCAAGTGGATCATGTTTTCTATCGCCATAGCATGCCAGCACCAGCGACGAAGCTTCAGTTTGTGATTAGCAAGAGTTTCCACCAAAGAAAATACCAGAACGGACGACAGGGCAGCAGCCAGCATTACACACTCACAGCTAAATATGCTGCGTTAGCAATCCATTAAAAAAATGTCATGAGCACGCAATAATACCAAGATCCACCGCCAGACTTCACCACACTGCTGGTTCTTGCTGCTGATTGTTGGAACATGATAATAGGATGGCTCATCTCTAGGACAGTGGACACACTAAAAAATGTACTAAACATGAGACGACTTGGCTGTTGTAATTGAGATGTTGCTGCCAGATCTCAAGCCATAGAAGACAGCATCTGGGAGATGTAATGGCGCGATTCTTCATGTCTACCAGTGGACTGCTACTGCTTATACACTTCTGTATATATAGGCCTCTGCTGAATGGTACATCAAACCAGAAGTTGTTCTCCTCTTCTCCTCTCTTTCACAACAATACATAGAAAAGCTTCCAGATTAGATATGGCTTTCCACATGAGATCCATAAGTTTGCCTTCTAGGCCTCAGGCCAATGAGACCGAGGTTGAGCAAGAACTGCTGAGCCTAGAGGCAAGCATCTCTTCTTCCATCACCATCGGCACGATGTGTGATGGTCTGAGGAGGCTTGGAGACATCTACAAGGGTGTTGAAGAGATTATTTGCCTACCAAGCAATCAAGTTAGCTCCTCTCAGCAGAGGAAGATGTTGGATGGAGAGATGGAATGCTCTCTTGAGTTGTTGGACCTCTACAGTAACATGCAAGAGATCTTCGTCGAAATGAAGGTCATCATCCAAGAGCTGCAAGTGGCTCTGAGAAAAGGGGATGATGCAGCTGCTCAAGCCAAGATCTAGTCTTACACCCGCTTGGCGAAGAAGGCCAAGAATTATTTCAAGAAGACCACAAAAAAGACTCCTGCACATTGCAAGATGGTCATGCTATTGACCAAGGCCAGAGAGATATCTGTCTCTCTGCTGGAGTCCACACTCCATCTCTTGTCGAAGCAAATTGAAATGCCTAAACAGTCTCTTGTTTCCAAGGCATTTCACAAAAAGAAGGTAGTTGTATGCAAGGAGGAGCAATTGCAGGAGCTAGGGTGCAGTATCGGAGATCTTGAGAGTGGAGCAGGACATCTGTTCAGGAAATTACTCCAAAGCAGAGTTTCTCTACTCAACATTCTTAGCTCATAGATACTCCCAAGTCACTCTTGACGCCCTGTGGTTGGCATCCGCCTTTTAAGGAATAGCTGATCTTCATACAATTTTCCCATATGTATACACTATACAGTATAAATGTACATGAAATATAGAAAGAGAAACCAAAGTTTTGATCCATTAGACCATTTCATGCTTGAAGATGTGTTTGTGATCCGAGTATAGTTTATTTTGATATTCTTGGTTAGTCGATCTTGCTCCTTATGCATGAAACATGCCAGATCAAAGTCACAACGTCTCCACCACCACCACATGGCTGTGCAGTCTGGCACTACAAGTGAATATATTTCTTGCTTCAGAATGCAACAAAGTCCAAATTAGTATACTCAAATTATAATATCGTCACCAGATGCATCATTTAAGCATTTTAGCCAAAAAAATAGCACAAACATGTAATTTGGAGCCACAACTCTGCTTTTGTCCCACAGGATTAACAATAATTTGGGAAAGACCTAATCCAAACTTGCGAGGGCGCAAAGTTTGTTCCTTTCCTATAGTATTTCTCAGTACACAAACAACAACCAATGCTTTATATGCTTATTGGCACACATCAAAAGCGTGTTTCTGTACATGCTTACCAGAGATCTTTAGAATGGAGCAGGAAATTAATTCAGAATAGAGTTTCTCTCCTAAACATTCTTAGCTCATAGGTACTCCACGTCACTCTATGCCCTGTAATTGGCATCCGCCTTTTTGAGGATGTTCTGATCTTGATGCAGTTTTTCCATATGTATACAGTACA